TACTCCATTTTATTAAAAAACCACATCTTCTTTATCCAGTTTCCAGTCGATGGGCATTTGGGCTGTTTCCAAGCTTTAGCTATTACAAACTGTGCCGCCATAAACATAGGTCCACATATATCGCTGTGGTATGATTCTTTTAATTCTTTGGGGAAGATTCCCAGTAGGGGAATAGCTGGGTCAAATTCATATTGTTTAATATTTAGGTTGTTTTCCTACTTTTCTATATTGTAAGCAGCATTAATGAACATGGTTTTAATTTTTTAGAAAAAGTCTGTTTTGCTGGGCGTGGTGGTGCACACTTGTAGTCCCAGCACTTGGGAGGCTGAGGCAGAAGGATCACTGTGAGTTCAAGGCCATAGTGAGTTCAAGACCAGCCTGAATTACATAGTGTGACCCTGTCTCAAAAAACAAAATGAAACAAATAACAATAAATAAATTAAAAAGTGTGTTTAATGAGAGGGCAGTATTTTGAGGATTAAATTTTGGTTTTTTTGAGACAGTGTCTTGCTCTATAGCCCAGACTGGCCTTGACCTCACAGAAATTCTCCTGCCTCAGCCTCCTGAATGCTTGGTGAATTAAAAAAATTTAGACATTCTCCATATATTTTAATGATACTTTGTACCTTTAGTGAATGAGTGGTTCTGGAACTAATCAGAATCCCAGCAAACTACAGAGGCTGGAGGATACCTTCATAGAGCAAAGGTCTAGTTAGGTTCATGCTAGACAGTTAAGTATTTAGAGCAGCTAAGCATTTTTCTTTGGAGATCTTGCCAGCTTCAGGAGATGGAGAATGTGCTGCCTAAAGCTTGGACGTGAGTAGAGAGACCTAGCTCAAGGTGTGGCTGTGCCACATACCTGCTGTGGGACTCCATGTTTCTTGGCCTTCTACACCAGCTGGGCAGCTACCTCTGAGGTGTGAGAATGAGAGGCGACCACATGCAAACAGCACTCAGCAGAGTCTGGCCTAATGTAAGTGTTCACTTCATGACTGAGGTGATCTTATTATTCCCTGCTGTGACTAGAAACACTGTGGGATAATTCTTGGACTATGTTTTATATTATTCTTGTTTTTTGCCCTCCAGATCATGTATTTCCTAAGCGCTATCAGACAGGTGGTTACCTCACAAT